AACACTTCAAAATGAGATTTATTTGAAAGAACAGAAGAAGGCATTCTATTAATTAAGAAGGTAGTAATGCCAACTGCATCAAACTAATAGTGAAGAGGAAGAGAAGCATGATGAATTAAAGCAATAATTGTGTTAGAGCATTTCCAACCGTGAACTTTTTTTTATCAAATCTGAGGAAAAAAAGGATGATTTTCTCAATTTGATACCACTAGCTCCAACGGTGCATCAAAAGGGGGAGGGGCGACTGGTTGGTCGACCTTGTGCCCAAAAAGCTCTAACCTCTGCTGAGCAGACTCAGTGGAGAGACCTTCTCTGCTACATCTCAGATTCTCCTGCATTCACAGACCTCAATTCCATTAAAACCCAAATGAAATAAAAACCCAAATGAAACAAATAGTCATAATTCTCTCAGATCAATTACCAAATCCACAGCTTCCTTCAACACAGCCTCTGAAAAAAGATGCTCAGGTTTGGTTTGGTTCAGGGTTGCTGGTGGGTTGACCGGTTGGTTGATCGGCCGGTCGACCGGTAAGGCAAAATATAATTTTTTTTTTTACCTGTTTGAACCTTTTTTGACCGGTTTGAACCTAGGAATTCGGTCGACCGGTTGGTCAACCGGCTGGTTGACCGGTTCCTTCCTCCAACGCTCACACACAGTGTTTTGATGAAATATATATTCTGTCCTCAGTTTGATGAATTGTTTGCTGAAATCTCAATTTGATATCGATTTGGTGCAACCGTTGGAGCACCAAACAGTAACTTTTTCACCAAATTTTAAATTTGATACCAGGTTTGATTCAGGATTGGAGATGGTCTTAATGACATGCCTGTGTTTTCTTTCTGCAATGCCATTTTAAGAAGTATATAGACAAGAGTATTGATGGACAATGCCATGAAAAATGAGATAATGATGCATTTTATTAGTAAAATACTTAGTGCCACCATCTGTTCGAAGCACCTGAGGAGGAGTGGAAAATTGTTTCTTAACACAGATTTTAAACTCCACAAATTTTATATAAAAAAATTAAAAAAAAAAATTCACTCTTATAAGCCCAAGATATAACCAAGTAAATCGACTAAAATCATTCACAAACAATACATAATACTTGAATCCAAAAGTAGATTTATTAAAAGGACTCTAAACATCATTGTGGATCACTGACAAATGTTGATTTACAGTTGAATTGGACAAATGAAAAGGAAATCTATGACTTTTGGATACACATCAATTAGCAACACAAGTACTATTGTCATGAGACTTAGAAGAATTACAAAAAACAACAATGATTTATCCCACTAATTTGGGAGCACTAATTGACCACTAATGAGATGGAAATTCAAAAAAAAAAAGAAACAAACAAAAAAAACTTAAGAGCAAAACATCACATCAATGAGTGGGGTCCACCAATTAGTACTCTCCTAGTGCTCCTAAATTAGTGGTATTAAACATTTTTCTACAAAAAAATACTCTTCTTGAGATGAGCAAACTTCTATAAACAAGGATGGCCTAGCCTATAATGCCAGATATTTGATGAAACAAATTTATTCCTTTTGGACTAAAATTTGTCTAGAAAACAAACTTTTTTAGACCAAATTATTTTGTCCTCAAAGTGCATTTATTAGTAATTTTTTTTTAGAATTTTGTCATTAATTAAAATTTTTTTTTGAGACAATTTTTAGCATCCTCGTTATGATAAAATTAATCACTAAATGTTTTTTTTTTCAACAATTTTTTTAATTTCGAAGGCAAAAGCAATTAATCCTTAAAATTTGTGTATATAAAAAACTGGGTAAATTACACTGACACCCCCTTAGATTTCTTTTAATATAGATTTCGCCTCACGTTTGAAAAATTACACTTACCCCCCTCTCAAATTAAAATGATACATTTGTTCCTTACTCTTTCTAAATATAAAATAAAACAATACTGATATTTTACTTATGTCATTTCAAAAGAAATAACAATCATCTTCTTTGATTTAATTTATACAAAAAAAATTGAATTTCTTTATTTTTCGTGTTTTTTGATTTTTACTAATATTTTTTAATATTTTAAGTAATTTTTTTATTTTTTCGATATGCCTAATCTAGATATATTTAAAAAGTATAATGTTTTGTAATTTTTTTTTAAATTCACCAAATACAAAAAAATATATATATAAAAATACAAAAAAATCATTAATATTGTAATAAATGTGAATGACTGTGTTTGGTAATACTGTAATAAATATGGGTGAATAGATGATAAAGAAAAATTATGGTGGAAATAAAAATGAAAAATTCTATTCATATATAAAAATTTATACAAAAAATATCATAAAAATATTGTGATAGTGATATTGTTGTAAATATAAATCATGTTTGTGGGTGTTTTGTTTTAAAATGAAAGATCACAATTCAGTTATATCATTATGTTTGAAAATTTTATATAAAATTTTTGTTTGTATATCATCACACAATAAGAATATGTTTAGGTAGAATTTGATGATAAAAAATTGTAGAATGCAATAATAATGATAGGGAAAAGAAATTGTAGAAAAAAAAGGGCAAGATAATCATATAGAAAATTTTAAGGCATGACATTAGCTATGCAGGGGAAATTTATAATGAGATTATTAACTTCAGGAGGAGGAATGTAATTTTTCAAAGGTAAAAAAAGAATCTGCATTAAATAAAAATTTTAAAAAATATCAGTGTAATTTATCCTAAAAAAATATTAAAAATTTCAAATGCGTTACCAAATATTTTACACAATGGTAATTCGTAATAACGTTGTTTGAAAGTGTACGAGTCTTCACCATCTTTTGATCCATGTCAAAGCATTAATGATTCATGTATAAGTCACTTTTATCATGTTTTAATTTTCATCATTTTGATCATGTTCTCATTTTCATTATTTTCATCATGTTTTTATTGTCTTCATATTGTTATTATTATTATTATTATTATTATTATTATTATTGTTTTATTTTCATCATGTTCTTCTATTTTATTTTCTCCATAGGTGTTATTCACTCTTTAGACACATTCGTGAAATTAGTCGAAGTATCCGTAAATTGATCCGGATACTCAATTATTAAAAAAATATAATAATTGAGAAGCCATGTGTGGGTCCTACTTAAATAGTAATTAGTATTTATCCACTGATGAATATTAAGGCTGTAATCTCAAATAAAATTGTTTCATTATTTTAACAGTGGTGCTACATGCACCAATTAGTGTAGTAATTAGTGTACCAACACTAGTTATAATATTATTATTGACTTTACTCATTATACAAAAAATATCAAAAACCTCTTAAAGGTTCGTTTGATATTGGCTAATATAGCCAACTTTTTTGTGTTGAGACTTTTTTAGCCTCGTTTGGTTTGGATTTTTGACTTTTGTGAAAAAAAAAAGTGTAATGATTATAGTTTGGGAAGCTTCTATCTACACACACCAAATACCCTCTTTGCACATCCTTCTTACTACACACACCAAAAAAAATCATTCCTAATTCTTTTACTCACTGCACACACATTTGATTCCACATCTACCCTCACACTCTCTCTCTCACACACACACACATACACACACACACACACACACCCTCAAACCCAGCTCTCCCGACGGTGCACACCCATTGAAGCTGCAACTCTCACATTGCTCTCTTAACGGTGCAAATACACCCATTGAAGCTGCGCTGCATCTCTCACATTGCTCTCTGTAGACGTCTCCCGAACGCCCCGGGAGGGTTTAGCTCCCGTTCTGTTCATTTGGGGTCACTACAGCTCGAACTCTTAAATGTCACGGTTCCTAATCTGAACCAAAGAGTCCAAATCCGGCAAATCGTTTTTGAGAAACTGATTTTTGAAAAAAAGTAGTGCCAAACATGGACTGCTTTGCCAGATACAGAGTCGCTACCTAAATATTTTATTTTGGGAAATTTAGGAAACCCTTTAAAGTGCTTAGACGTTGTCGAACCCTATCATCCAGATAGAGTTCTGAGGTAGTTTGGCAGGGTTCAAACCATCCCAGATGCACTGCTAGCTCCCAGTCGTGGTGCTCGAGGCAACATATCTGCATGATATATAGTCATGTATAGATACTTGGATAGGATCTGGGAGGCTTGGGATAACCACGTGTTATCTGAGCAACGGAGGAGCACACTAGTTCGTCAGCCTTGGGAGTGTGTATCGGGTTACATGGATTGGTATAAGAATATCACGCACCTATATGTTGAGCACACTGATGAACCGCGTGTCCATGACCATCAGGATTTCAGCCAACATGCCGATGTAATATATTATCCTCTTTTATGCATTTGTAACTTACTTTTTATTTTCTAATATGTTCCCTAAAATATGATATGGTTTTCAAATGCAGCGTATTGCACATGCACTACAGATTTCACATCCTATTATTTACGCTGGTTATGAGGAGGGGATTCGACATCCTCATCGACTTTACCAGGCTATCGAGAGTATGACGTATGTCCTTCAAGGTCGGCACATTGATGAAGCTGGACCTAGTTATACTGGAGGTCGCTTTCCATCTTTGACATTGACATACAGTTGTAGGCCTAGGCATAGGCATACAACTGATTCGTGACATGTTATTTGTTAGTTGATGAATTTTTTTTGGTATTTTTGGTAAGATGATATTGTTGTAATGGTAACAGTGGTTAATATTTTCTTATTAGAATGGAATGGCAACAATGGTATTGTAATGACATTGTAATGACATTTTATTATTAGAATGGAATGGTAACAATGGTCCTTTGTAAATGATATGTTCTTATTACAATGGCATGGTAACAATGGTCGATAACATTCAATCCAGATTGCGAAACAGAACACATCAACATCAAAAACACATCCATTAATTTCTTCCATAATTCTAACATTGTCAAATGCATACATGTGTCATGCGACATCAACAACATCAAATGTCTCTCGAGTAGCTACATTATCATGAATAATGTCCTTGAAATGTTAAATGCGATGCACATATGCATCATCCTAGTCGACAGCGCAAGGGTGACGGTATTTTCGCCAATTAGTGGCTATAGGAGGAACTGGATGGCCTGACTGCAACAAAACCTGCACCAAATATCAATTGAGTTAGTGGTCATACCTCATAACTTCTTGTACATGCACAAATTTATAAGTTTCTGTTATACCTGGACGAAATGATTTCCGTTGACAAACCCAGTGGCAATCTCACGTCTATCAAGTTGAGGTACGAACACTGTTCTAAGAGGTAAAAAGTTGAGACATTGCTATAATGACAAGTGGTATAACACAAGATTGTAGCACGATGTAACAAGATGTCCCATGTCTGGCATAGTCATCCAATGTGAGTATCCAGGACTGTCTTCAAAGTATGATAATATGCTTGTCAATTCTTTAAACCTTTCGTAGGACCCATAAAGTGTAATGTATTCCTCTTTGTGTGTGTGCAGCTCACCCAACAGATCACGCCTAACCTGAGCCCAATCATCTTCTGTATGACCAATTGAAGCAGCTATAGCCCTGAAACCACAATTCCCATCTGCAGCTACATCCTTGACAAACTTAATGTATGGTTTCAACCCAGATGGGAAAGCATCAACATATGCACCAGGTTTCACTGTTCTAGTAATGTATACCTTCCCTTTCGAATTCACCTTCTCCTTTCCCTTAACAGGTCGCTTCTTCTTGGTTTGCAGAATAGAAGCTAATGTAGTGATTTGAGTGTCCCTAGGTGAGAAGGAATCATGTCTAGATTGCACCAACTCAAATGCACGCGGGTCACGACGGGTAGAAACATTGATCTTCTTAAGATCCCAAGGACGTGTTTTGGGCTTTACCTTCGGCTCAACAAGAAAAATGCTTCCCGGATATACAATCTCTTTCAAATTCTTCAAAATCTCCAACCGCATGGTTCTATCACTTTCATTAAACTTGTTCACAAACAACTCTACTTCTGCATGACAACTCACTTTCGTTTCCTCTTCTTTCTTGCATATGGAGATATGAAGTTGCCTCCACTGTGAGTGTATGGTAGCAAGTGGTATAGGACGATCTTGTCTGATGTAGTCAGCAATCTCATGGGCACAAGGTAAACCATGAGTGTAGCGAAGGACGCATCTACAAGCTTCAACATCAATACCAATGGAATTGGCTCTTTTAGTCTCTACAGGCAAATACTTCAATGCAGAGATAGACATATTACCCCGTAGCTCCCTGAACTGAGAAGGTTTAAATTGATGTTGCACAACAGTTAGACTTTTCTCAAATGAAGCCTTGATATCAGTGTGTTGCAACTCAAGCAAACTGTGTTTTTTCTCAAATGATGCCTGAAATAAGACTTGACATGAACCTAATTGTCTTTTAAGTTTTGCATGTGCACTCTTAGCCCTGTTCAATTCAATGTAAGTCAAATTAAAATCAAGTACATGGCACTTATTAATAACATATTGAAGAAAAGTAATCTTATCGGTTCGTTGTAATATTGCCACAATGCATACATGTGTCTGTCCATGCCGCGACAAATTTGTCCTTGTAAGGAACCTACCAAGTATCCATGACGCATTTGACTGCATTAGGATAACTACTGAATTCCTTAAGTAATGATTTCAGACGCTCATTGTATTGAATTTCAGAAGATGAATACACTAAAGAGTTCCACTCATGGTTGAACTTCTCCCATTTTTGCTGTGTCTCAAACATTTTCTTGCATTTGGTCAATACGTTCTTACTGATATGCCAACGATATAATAAATGTCTGCCACTCGAAAATATCTTCTGTATGGCATTCATCAAGGCTAGCTCTCTGTCAGTAACAATAATTGTTGGCACAACAAAACCATCCATGACATCACGCAATGTAGCTAACACCCACGCATAGTTATCGACCCTCTCATCCTGTAAGTATGCAAAAGCTACAAACAATGTCATTTCAGTTGATGTCACTCCCATAATTTCAAGAAGAGGAAGACGATATCTGTTGGTTTTATATGTGCAATCCATAATTAATATACATGGAAAAGACCGAAATAAGTCCAAACTGGTAGGATGTGCCCAAAACAAGTCTGTCACAATCATCGTGGACTCTTTAGACCGATGGCGCTCGATGTAATTATACTTGGCCAATTCACCCAATAAGTGTTGCATCTGTGATCTTCCAGCTCTCTGTACCACCCAGTTTCGATGGCGTACATTGTAAATGGTTTTAAGTGTGCTTACATTGAGGGCATCTCGCTGTTTCAAGGTTACTAGGATTTCTTTTGGCCGAACCATGCTCTTTGACATATCCATTAACAATGCTTTCTCATCCTTTGATAGCCTTCCCGCATATGAATGTCCCTCAAGGTGCTCCGCAGGTGGATGATTATGCAATCCGCATACTACGGTCAATGTCCATTCATCATGTGTGGTAAACCTGTGAGCCCTCATATCAAAAGGACAACCACACTTCTTCGTACCGGTTATTCTTGATATATTGTTGACATCATGTTTTAACTTCTTTCTCGCTCTATATTGGCCACTCCTCTCACAAGCAAGATACATCCTGGGTCTTTTTTTCCCTCCACCATAGTCTGATGTTTTGATTACAATGACCAAACCATTTCTCTTTCCAACTTCACGTACCTAGTTGAGCAATTCATCCTTAGTTTTGAATACCTACAAAGTCAAATAAATATTATTAAACATTTACATTTGGTGAGCAATTCGAAACATAATCATTATAATTTCATAGAGTGAACCTGTTCAGTTGTGAATTGAGTAGTGTAATTCAACACAAAATCCGCGCAAACCTGACTTCCTTGAGTTGACACATATTCCTACATGTTTTGTATAACATTACAAATTTTTAATGGCATTATAAAGATTAATTTGCAATTCGAAACTGTAAATTTGGAATGCAGTTTGCAAATTTGGAATATAAAATGGGAAATTTTTTTTTTACTCATTCGGAAGTAGTTGTCTGAATTTATTTTAAACTTTCGGAAGTTGAATATTGTAAAAGTTAACTTTGTTCGGACAACAACTTCCAAATTTAAATACTTTGTTCGAAAAACAACTTCCTAAATTAATTACTTTGTTCGGACAACAACTTCTGAAAATAAATACTTATTTCGATAGTAGATTTCCGAACCAAATAATACAATTCGACTCTGGTTATCCGAACGACGCTGGGAAAAAAACAAGAGAAGAGAAACTCACATTTCCTTCACTATGTTTCTCATAAACACTTATTTGCTGATTTTCAGAAGGCAAATCCTCCATAACAATGATGTTTTCCCTACGAATGACGAAGGTTGATGAATGAGTATGAGTGCATTGAGAAGCTACGAACTTGGAGCTTAATGGAAGAAGCTACGAACTTGGAAGAAACTACGAATGAGTGAATATTCTGCTTTCACTTCTAGTTCAATGAAGCTACAAACTTGGAGACGTTTTGAATTGGATGGATGTGTGCACGATGCAACAGATGTGAACTCTAGATGGATGTGTGCATTGAGATGTTTTGAATCAACAATGATGTCTAAAATAGTAATTTCACTCAGGGATAAAATTGTAATAAAATTAAATATCATTAAGTGTGTGTATAGACGGGATTTGGTGTGTGTAGATAGAAGCTCCCTTATAGTTTGGATGTGACATTTTGTCTTATTAGTTTATGTTGCCTATTTTAGACTTTTGTGTTTTTTTAGGCCCAAAATGAAAACCAAATGATGGTTAAATTATGTTACATCATCAATTGGTACACTAATTGATTCATATAACATTATTCTTGTTTTAATTCAGATATTATCAATTCACAGTTTTCATAAAATTTTCATTTAATATTTTTACTAATAATAATAAAGATAATAGCAAGTGAAATGGTTAATGATAGTGATGATGAAATTTCAATATTTAAATATTAAAATTACATAGTAAAATTTTGCTGTCCAAGTTAACAGAGTAAAATTTTACTTGTTAATGCTATCATTGTTTTGGTAAAAAAAATTATTTAATGTTTTTACTAATAATGATAAAGGTCACAGTAAATATGGTGATTAATGATAGTAATGGTAAAATTTCATTGTTTAATATATTAAATTTAGATAGTAAATTTTTTCTGTTTTTATTTGTATATGTTGTTTTCAAAATTTTATGACTAATATAGATCTTATTTAATAAATTTTGATGAGAAACTTTCACAATAACGTTTGAGAGCTCTAATGCAACTCTAATGATATGGAGAGTATTCATGTGAAGTTGGGGCCCACACCCCTCTCTCTCTCTCTCTCTCTCTTCCACCTTATTAGAACTTTATTTAGAGCTCTTAAATTAGAGCTATATATCATTACTCAAACTGTGTGCCCGCTATGTGCACATAGTCGTTAGAGCAGTAGGCATGTCCTATTGTTGACATGAAATTTTTTACGAGGAATGAATCTTTATCAAAATTCCCTCAATTTTTTTTTGTGTATTTAATTTTTCTTTTATGTGGTGTTGGTTGGAGAATTTAAGGAGGGATTTAAAAAAGAAAATAGAAAAGATACATGAAATATTAATAAAATATACCTAAATTTTACCTAATTTTACACCCTTTTTTCCTTTCTCTTTCCAAATCTTTTCTCAAATCTCTCAACCAAACACAGCGATTGCTCAATTTATACAAGTGGTTGAGATCATAAAAACTGAAACTATCAGCAGCTTTAAAAAAACGTGGCGACACATTTATTATTTATGTGTACATTATCTTCACGAACATGGATAGTCTCTCATCAATGAGCAATTATTCATTGCCCAAAGTATGCAGAATAATCCAAATGAATGATTTGGATTGAATTGTAGCAATGCCATGTAGGACATGAAATAATTTTTCCTCATCCTAATAAAAGGATTAGACCATTCACTCCAGGGATTTGGGCCATGGCATGACTCATTTTGATAATTTTATCTGTTTTTTTATTATTTAAATTTGTGTAAATTATTAATGTAAAAAAATTATATTGGTTTGATAATGATAACCACATGATTTATCATATTTGTTTTGAAATGTTTGAATGATAATTTAATTTTTAAAATATACCGTTAATTTTTTTAAAAGGCTTAAGAATTTTCAAAACCAGTTTTGGAGTTTTGATTTTGCATTTTTTGGTCATATTGGTTTTTTTTAATATTTTAATTATTTTTTTTTTACTTTTTAAATTATTGTAATCTATATACATTTATAAGTACGAAATTTGTCATTTTTTAAAAAAATTTTAAATACAAAATTTCAGTGTATTTTTTTTGTATTTATTATTATTTATTTATTTTTGATTTCTTAACAAATCTTTACTTTTTAAGTACATTTAGATCAAGTGCACTTAAAAAAAATTAGGCTAAAATATGAAAAATATTTACTAAAAATAACAAAATACAAAAAATAAAAAAACTCAAAAATTATTTTTAAAAAGTCAAAACCAAACAGATATGATTAACTCATGTGACTATGTATTTCATCAATCTAATTTTTTTTACGAATAATTGACACATAATTATATAAATTGTAAACTGGTTGGATAACTGAAATGGTCTTCTAATTGGCCCAATGTGCTGAAGTGACAAGTTTAGTTTTTATTAATGTGGACTCCAATACATTTGTATTTATAGTGACAAAAAAATTTAATATGAAATTCGTTTAGTATTTGGATTATATAGAGCTGTGACAAAATAAAAGGGACACTTATTAATAAGTTTTATTAACTAGATTTGTTTATCTATAAATTCTAATTGATAAATTTATTACTATAGATTTATTTATAAAAATAAGAGAGACTGATAAATTTATTTAATATATAATAAATCTAAAAGTATGATCTATTGATATTCACATTATTGAATGAAAATCTTGGGTCCATATCTTTTCAACCAAGCCTAAGTAATATGGCCCAATCACTTTGGACGAAGTTAAATATAATTTGAGAAAGAACGTATTGTGAAAGTTAAGTTGGCGTGTAAGTGATAATATTCGATTCTTGTTTCTTAATCCAAAGGCACATGTACTTCCATGGAGACTAGGGTGGAGGATAAACCAAGGGTGCAAAAGTGGCTCAATTATTAGGTGATTTAATTTGTCGCTTAAAATGCATTAAATTTTTTTTTTAATTATGGAAGGTTCAAAATTTATATATATATAAAAAAAGAATAATAAGGTAAGGTCTCATTTTAATATTTAATCTAAGATCTTTAGAAAATTTGAGCCGCCATTGTAATTTAATAGTGGAAAATTTTAGAATATTATGACTTACTTTAGTTAGATAATCGAATGATGAGAAGATGAGTCACTTATAAGTTATAGTTTTTCATTTGTCAAGAGCAACCACCTTAGGATAATTCAAAATTATCTAATTATTTTTCAATTGGTCCAATTGCATTTATATAAAATTTGTTTAAACTTGCCCAAATTTCTAATGTTGTGCTTGGTTGAGAGATTGAGAAGGAATTTGAAAATAGAAAGGGAAAATGTGTGTAAAACTAGATAAAATGTAGGTATATTTTATTCACATTTCACATTCTTTTTCTATTTTCCTTTCCAAATCCTTTCTCAAAATTCCTAACCAAACACAACGTAAATAAGTTTTAAATTGTTTAATGTGCTTGGTTGAGAGATTTGAGAAGGAATTTGAAAATAGAAAGGGAAAATGTGTGTAAAACTAGATAAAATGTAGGTATATTTTATTCACATTTCACATTCTTTTTCTATTTTCCTTTCCAAATCCTTTCTCAAAATTCCTAACCAAACACAACGTAAATAAGTTTTAAATTGTTTAATTGAGTTGAACGTGAGAACTCATTTCAACCCATTTAAATGAGTATCACTTCCTCTACAACTACTCCTCCACTAATTCAACACATATCCAATTCAATTCAAGTCATTTAAATTTTTGAGCTATTTAAACCTAAACGTTAAACTCAGTGATATTGTCAAGAATATGATTGGTTGATAATTAAATATTTTTTAATTATTAACTAATCATCTTCTTGATACATTACTGGGTCTAAAAAATTAATCTAAAAAGTAGATTTGTGACGTGTATAAGCCCATAAAGGCCACGAATCACTATGAACAATCCAAGCTCATCACTTGGAGCCCAATGCATAACCCAACTGGTGAGGTCCAGGACAGCTGGAGTCCAACATGGCATAAAGAGCCAATGACATTCAGACACACGACAGGTGAAGGACAGGCCACATCAGCAGACAAAGATCTGCAAAGTTATTGCCACTGCACATCACCATTAATGCAGCCCATCACAGCATTTATTATGACAACACCTCTCCGTCGGAACAGGACCCCCTTACCCTGAACAAGGTAAGCTACAACATAGACTTTTGGCGGGGAGGGCAGGTCGGAAGGGACAGCGAAATGATTACCAAAGGATAAAAGCAAACGTTGAAGACAAGAAGAAGGTTAAGCTTTTTTATCTCTAATCTCTCTCTCTCTACACTTTACTTCTCTCCTTAACTTGCTCGTCGGAGGGTTCACTGGGGGACTACCCAGTTCCCCGTTGAACTTGTTTGCAGGT